ATAAGTAAACATTGGCAAGAAATCTTTGTGGAAAACAGGCAAAAAACAGAAAATAAATAAAACAATTTTCGCGCTGGTTGTATGTATTGTGTTTGCGTTGCTGCGAATGGTTTGCTAATTGTGTGCCGTAATAACGCAACACTTGCACTTGCGGCCGCCTGAAATTCGCGGCCTGACGACTTACCGACTAACTTGTCGGCATTTAAGCAGTTGTTAAAATGCTTCACGCGAGTTTTCTCAACCAAATAAAAAGAATAACTATAAACAATTTTCTCAAGAAAATGATTGTGATCTAATAAATATAACGGTTTGTTTGTCTGCGCATTCGCAGAGTGGATTTCATCTAGATTTTTTGGCGTAACCTATTTTCAAATTATTACAAAATCTTGAAATAGATTTTTGCAACGGCAGTCGTCACAGCTTTTCATGTGAAAAAACCCATGAATTTAAAATATTTTCAATTTTTCTAAGAACTTCCCACTCTACAATGCTGAGTTGAGAATCTGAAAACGCGTAGAGATGTGTCTGACCACCAGCGATCTGTTATGAACAGATTGCCTTCACATCAGCCCTGTGAACTCTTGGGTTTTACTAGGACGAGTGCGTTTTGATATCTCTCTATCATGAAAATCAACTTTTCGCTTTAGGTGAGGAATATAAGAAATTACATAAAACTAAAATATTCATGTTGTTCTACACCTGAATGGGTTAGGTATTAGGTAGAAATGGCTCAGCTCAATAGGATTCCCGCAAAGAGCGTTCAGTAACACTTTTCATTCAGTGTTTCGCTTAGTACATTTCACAAATCCACAAATGCCTCTAATGTCAATGTTAACTCTTACAAGTTGGTAAACATATGCTTTCCGAGAATTAGCATTCTCATTCACGCCAACAGGACATGCAGAAAGTGTATAGATAACTCCCCCTTCTTCTTCCAGTCAGTGGGGATACAGAATAAGCCCGAGCTTCACAGCTTTGATTTCGATACACTGCGTGCGAGAGTTTTGATCTTGACCAATGAAGCAGTAGTTCCCATACGTGCAAGCTCATCAGCATTGCAGCTCTCAGAAATTCCACGCGACCCCGTACCTATGAGATTTCAATTCTGAAACAAATCAACGCCACACCATGAAAGAGCTCAAATCCTTAAACTGGCTATCTGAACCTCAGAACCCATCCTGGGAAGCAATGTGTTCAACGCTTACTTGACAGCAGCAACATCCGTCTGAAGCCTTTATAACCACTATTTTCCGATGTGGTTCGGGTAGAGCCGGGGGGTATACATTGTTCGCTTTCTGTACCTATGTATATCAGCCTCTGGCTGCTATTCCTTTTTGAATTCTAGACCACATTGAAAGTAGCTTATCTACCAAGTTTGGGTGGGATCCATTGATTAATGCCTTTTGAGTCAAGTGAGGGTGGAAGTTAAAAAGCCCATTACATTGGATAAAATCTTAATTGTTGGCCGATTGAACTTATATTAATATATAAGTTCAGATTTCTTACTAAACTTTGGAAATATAAACATCAACCTTTCTGTCCTCCCTTCAAGGGTTTCTATGTACTGGTATATACTTTTTGACCACAAAGTAGGGGTGCCACTTTTCACATTTAATGCAATTTTTTTCTATAAATATTACCTTAATTTTATTTTTAGGTACGGGATTCCCGCAATATTCGTACTTTTCAAAAATTACCGTTATATAGAATATGATCGTGGCTCGTCTGTTTGCAATAACGTCCGTAGTTGTGGAACGTTTGAACACAGTTTCATTAAAATATCTCAGTATTTACTTGAGCTGTCACGCGCTCGGATGAACGGACATACATATCTAGCCAAATCGATTCGAAACGTTTATTTCATGTCGTTACATATAACCGTTAGCTGAACGCACCATCCACATACCCCATGGAGCCCTCTCATAAAATTGTTAAGGCCTTCTTGTGAAACTTCTACATTTGGTAAGGATCGGTTAAGGTGTTTGAAAGGACCAAACTTTGGTTGGAGTTCTTGCCATTTCATTTTCTAAGGAACCTCTTATGCTCTGAACAATTCAAGTAATGCGGTCTAAGCATATTTCTACGCAATGAAACCGCTTATTTTAATTTTATAGGAACTTCACTTCAAGTCTAAGCATTCTTATAAACAAAAATTCAGAAAATTAGAAATTCAGAATAAAATCTGCTTGCCGTAGCCTGTAGTTAGAAGAACTAATACAGAATTCTTAGACCGACTTGTGCTAATATTATAACTAAACAATTTTGTTTGCACTTACGAGTATATATTATATATATATTTATGTACATATCTATGCTATCCGTCTGACAATGTGTTATTTCGAATTAGCAGCTGCAGCTAAAAACGTTGAATCATATTAAAAACTTACTACTTTTTAAGTAATATTTAATGAAATTCTCGTTAAAAAGTTAAAATGACTTTAAGTGTAGTAAAAATATTTTTATGTGCACACATTCAATTGAATTAACATAAAACAAAAGGAGAAACATTTCTGTTTATTATTTAATAATGCAAAAGTTATACAATTTATTGCACAAAGCTTCACGAAAAATATTTGTGTGACAAATCAGTGAGCAGTTAATTATGCATAAATAAGTAAAAGAAAACAAAACTTTACAAGATAACTAGGGAGGTCCGCCCCCTGCTGCACTCGCTTCCCTTGCTCCTCACAGGTACGTTACGCTCCCACTCGCAGGGGTTCTAGCAAAAAATACTACACGGCGATGTCGTTTTAAGACTTTTCATATTGCATAAGAGAGAGATGCGTAAATGGTTTATCTGGAATAATTAAATTTATATTTAATTAGAAATTTATTTTAATGCTAATTTCCAGTCTGAGCTCAACTCTCTTCGGGATCGCAAAATATTTGAGTTCTTTAGAGTTTTTAAGATTCACGAAATTTCTTGAAATTATTTTCTTAAATTTTGGAGGGAAGTTGAGAACGGCAAGAGATGAGGAGCCGTAAAATATGAAGTCATAAACAGAAATATGACAAGGCTACCCGAGTTGATAGTGGTGGAGAACACCGATGAAGAAAGAATTTGTATGGACATTTCCCTTACTGAAGGAATGAAGATCGATCTGAAGGCAAGAATCATGGAGTGTAGTAACATCAAGGGTCCACTAAAGTTTAGCTATAGTACAGCAGTAGCAAATATAGCTTTTCGAAAACGAGCACACGAAGTTACAACAAAGGTTCTACTAGATAGGTTGTCGACAATCCAAGGCAGATTGACTTAGTAACTGAAAGAAGTGTATCGCTACTAATGGACGCAAATTCAAAAGTTATGGCGATCCAGAGGAGACGGCATAACTCTGATGCATGAATCTCTTGTACCCAGGCAGGATAAAAGCCTGATATATTAAGGACCAGAATTCTGAAGGATAATGATGTATAATCCTCAACGAAGGAAAAGCTTATTTTCGGGATGGAAGTGCATCAAGAAAGGTCTGTATAAAAATATCAAAGTTAAGAATGATGACGGTGCATCGAGGGCAAACCAAGGCAGATCAATAGCGAGTAGCGATAATGCTAAGAGCAAATCTCAGATGGAAAGGAGGTACTAATAAATGCAGCATATTATAGACGGAAGCGATCGTATGATTGCTGAAACACATATTTATTAAACAATTCGGATTAAAGGAGAAACCTCTTTATCGAATTTCCGATTTGGTTTTTGGAGTACTAGAATTGAGAAATAAACTGGAAAGACTTCCCTTTACGTTGATAAAGACAAAAAGAGAGAGTAATCTTAATCCTATATCTTAAGGTCAGTGCAGGCATATTTAACTTTTTTCGAGTTGGGTGAAAATTACCATACTTTGCCGAAGATTGGAATGATGGATGGCCACCTGTTGGAGAAATACCTCCTAGAGGTGTTGTTGTTTGTGGTGTTCGAATGTCAAAAAAAAACTGCAGATAATGGTCAGAATTTGCCTAGGTGACTATAGCGATCACATGATAATAATCAAGATATCTCAATTTATACCCAAGTAAACCCTTGCTCTTCATGATCGAACCGACGTAGGGGACCGCATCCCTCCACCTCGGCAAATCAGAAAACGCCTTAAACTATTATCCATCCGGTTTTCACTGCTGAGTTATTTTCAGCGTCAGTGAGACGATTATTTTTAACCTCAATACTCTCACATCGCTATGAGAAGTCATATGAGAATCTGATATGATATGGAAGAGCACTCAAAGAATCCTGTTATTAAAAACGCCAAAGAACCCGAAAACTTGCTTACACATCTTAAAAATTCTATTTGATAAGAGAGTGATAACGTTCTCCTTACACGCCCTCGTCGGGTATTCATTCTCCTGGCTCAACAGCCATAACTCAATATAACTCATTGTTCTGAAAATTCATATGTAAGTATATATAAACACAAAAATTTTGCATTCCAAGCACGATACAAGACTGATGCTGACGTCTCGGAATATTTAAACGTTTGTAAAAAGAAAAACAACAAATAACACAAAAATGCGTAACAACGCAAACGCTCATACATCACACCGTCGCCAACACTAACTTGGCTAACAAAAGTGAACTTAGTCACCAGCGTCAACTTAACTACTTATAAATTGAATGAATACCGCAAAAAGAAGCCAATGAAAAAATAAGCAACAAATAATAACATAAAAAAAAATTTACAAGAGTGATCGCTGCGATCATCAAACATCGATTGCCTTCCCATTTGATACTCTACCTTTGACTTTGCGACCAGCTGCAAACTGTTTGTGTTTGTTTTTGCATCTTTTTGCCTTTTCATTTTTGCTTTTGCTTTTGCACTGCTTTTTACTTTGCCATCGATTACTTCATTTATTTGCAGCGCTGCCCGACAGGTCTTCATTTGTCACAACAAGAAAAATATAAAAAACTCAAGCTTCTCAAGCCTGCGTTGTTGCCGAACCGCGCTGCTCGACTTGGCGTTGTGCTGAGCTGCAGCACAGAAGTTGGCTTAGGGGCGATCGCCACAACTTGGCCATTCAGTACGATATGAACGTCTCGTCTTGGCGGTTGATTTGATTGGAATTCCGCTCAACGGTTGTGAACCAAAATAAAGATGTTATTTGTTTGAAGGTAGAATCTTTCTTAGAGTGTGTTGCTGACTGTGAAGTGGACAATACGCGGCACTGTAGACTCGTTGCATGGCGATAAGTCCAAAAGTGCGTGTAATCGTGTTGATTGTGAATTTTGCACTGTCCCTAATTTTCGCGAGAATATCAGTTTATCTTTTTAATTTTTCTCAAACATAATAATTGTGTGCTAATTAATGCAATAAAAAAATGAATAGAAATAAAATTCAATTGCAACTTACGACTTTTTAATAAAGTAAACGTTCTTGACATAAAAATATTTGCCTAACAAGCAGTATCTTTATGAAAATAATTGCGATAGTTATTCGAAACTGATGACAAAGTGCAAAAAATTTATGTAAAACTAGTAAAAAATGTGAAAAGGTCGTGTAATAAATTTGACACGAAATAGTTTAAGCAACAATTAATCAAAATTAAAGCGAATCAAATAAAATATTTATAAATGATTGAACTAAGCAATCCTTCAAATATGAATTGTGTTTACAACGACTTTCTCGACGCAAATGCCAATGAAATTTTTCGGAAAAAAATTAAAAAATTATAAGAACAATCCAAAAAAGAGAAATATATTTTTTAATGTTTATAAGTGGCTGAATCAATATAAAAAAATGAAAATATAAGAAATAAAAAAAATTATTTGTTTTAATATATAATTTTACTTTCCAATAAGAAGCCATAATATAAGATGGAGCTTTAACAACCATTTCTATCAAATGAAAGTTTTTTTTTTTAAATTCAAATAATATTAAATAACTAAAAATTATATTAAAACTATAAAATAAATAGACTTTTTAGTTAACTATTCTTCTTTTAACTAAATTAAATATAAAATCATATTAAATAAATTAAATCTTAAACAAAATGAAACAATAAATTGATTTTATATGCTCAAAAAATAATAAAACTATATCAAATGTAATATAACAAAATGAAATAACAAAAACAAAAATCTAATTAAATAAATAGCGTTTAATTAAACATAAAAAATATCTAGAAGCAAAATAAAAAAGTTTAACTTAAATCAATTAAACACTAAAATATTATAAGTAATAATTAAACAAAATAAAATAAAATGTAAATAAAATTCCATAAATAAACCACAGTAAAACAAGGAATTAAGATAAAACAAAATAAATTAAATACTTATGTAATACCTTTTAATTAAAATTAATTAAATATATAAAGAAATACAATGTTATAAAATAGTAACAAAATATTTGAAAACAAAAAATATGAAGTAAACAAAATAATATTTATGGAATGCAAATAAATTAAATTTATTTTTAATTATTCTCAATTAATGTAAAATAAAATACAAAATTAAATGAAACGAAATGAACTACAATAGAAAAAGGAAATTAAACAAACCTTAAAATAAAATTAGAAAAATAACTCAATTAAAATACAATAACATCACAATAAATTAAACTTATAATAAATTATTTTCGTTAAAACTAAATTGAACTAAATCCGAGATAATATGAAATCAGACAAAATAAGATAATGCAATAATTTCATAAAATAAAAAGCCGTTAAACATGAATTATCAAATGTTAAAAAAAATGAAATAAGTCAAAATAAAATACAATTAAATTAAAATTAATTTTATTTTATCTTTTATTTTTATTTTAGTTATTTAAAATTTTGATAACTAATATTAAAATAATGAACAAAATAAAAATAAATTTAACAAATTATTGCATCAATGAAATATAATCATAAAATAATATAGTAGAAGAATGACTTAAATAAAAGTAAAAATAAATAAAAAATATTAAAATAAATAAAACAAGGTAAAAAAGTGATCAAATTTAGTTAAATATATTAATGCAATAATCTAAAAATGAAGAAAACCACTTACAACTAAATAAAATGAAACAAATTCAAGGCATTAAGATAAAATAAATTAAGTCAAAGTAAATTCATTACGTAGAAAAATGTATTATGATAAAATAAATTACTATACTTACTTACTTACTTTACTGAAATAGACACCGATTACGCGATTGTAGCCGAGTTAACAGCATTGCACTATTCGTTTCTCCTTTTTGCTTTTTGGCGAAATTGGAAATACCAAGTAAAGTCAGGTCCTTCTCTACCTGGTCTTCCCAACAGAGGGAAGGTCTTACCCTTCTTCTGCTTCCGCTGGCGGGTGCTGCATCGAAAACTTTCAAAGCTGGAGTATTAGCATCCATCCGGACCACATGACCTAGCCAGTATTAATCGCTGCTTCTTGATTCGTTAAACTATATCAATACCTTATAACTCGTACAGCTCATCGTTCCATCGTATGCGATATTCGCCATTGCCAATGCGCAAAGGACCATAAATCCTACGCAAAACCTTTCTCTTGTAAACTTCGCCTTGTCTGAAACCTTCTTCGGTGTCAAACAGCTCGCAGGGGTCTAAAATAAATTACAAACTATTATTATAAAAAAATTTATTTAAATCTATAAAGAAACTAAAATAAAATGCAATCAACTTTAATAAATTTAATTTTTTTTTTCAATTTATGAAAAAAAATGGAATAACAAATATAAATAAAGTAAAATTAAATAAAATAAAATTAAACAGAATAAAATAAACCTATAAATTATTGTAATCAAATTCAATTATTTAAGTAACTTAATAAAATATAATACAAATATTTAAATGAAGTAAAATAACATAAAACAAAATTAAATAAAATGCAAAATCTACAAAATAAAATAAAGCAATATAAATGAAATGAAATAAGTAATTTATAATAAATTATAAATAAAAATTAAAAAAAATACATAAAAAATAGCATGAATTAAAATAATATTATATCTTACAATTTAAATAAAATTAAAGTAAAATAAACAATTACAAGTCATAAATAAATATATATATATATATATATTACGACACACAGTGGTATGTGTCGTCAACCAGTGAGAAATCAAAGATACAAAAATAAATTCATTTTATAATTCTTCGACTCATTACTAGAAAGCGTGTGTACGATTACGCATTTAATTGAAAATAAATAAAACAATTTCGAAATTATGGTCTTCGATAGAGTAATTAGTTAAATATATGGATTTCTTATATTAATATTAATTCACGAAATAATAGAATTTATAAAGAAATTAATATTAATATAAAAATTTTTTTAATTTGATCAGCTTTTAAATGTCATTTAATGCAAAAGTTCCTCTCAATATTTGTTAACAAGTTACTCTGATAGTTGCAGCATATTTTTCTGAACTTCTTTTCTTGCGAACACTTAATAAAAAGCGAGACGAATAAATTGTGACACATTTCCACTGATAGGATGTAATCACAAATTTCAAGTGCATATGTATAATAAAACTTGTAAAAATCAGCAAGAACATAAACAGAAACTGAAAAGCGCTAAATTGTGAACTATTAAAACAACAATAACAACAATAGCAAAATAATGCGTCCGAAAATCGCACCCTACTTTGTGGGCGCACACCTGTTGCTGCTCGTGCTGCTCACCTTAAACGGCAATGGCAACACCAACAACAACAAACTATACGCACAAGCCGAAACAGCTAATCCAACTTGTACGCTGAAGGACAATTGTAATTTGAATGAAAATTTCCTGACAGCCAACGGTGAGACAAGTGAAAAGGCCGCAAGTAAATTGGAGAATAAAATCGCTTCAATTTTCGAGGATAAAGTAAATTACAGTCTAAAATTGTTCGCTGATGAAGATGTCATCGAATACAACGCCTTGGAGAGTAATTTAAGTGAACGTGCCCATCTGGGAACACCATCAGCGGCGAATTTCACGCTAAGCCAGCTGCAGGACGCAACCGATGTGGAGGAGGATGAAAGAGGTGAGCGAATGTGGATTTCACTTTTCGAATCCACTTGTAATCTGTTTTATATACTGCGTATTAATAAGTATTTTGAGCAGTGATAAGATATATTGTAATGACCAAAACTTTTGCGCAGGCGCATAGACCGCGACCTTCAGTGCATAGTATTTTTGGTCAAATTTACATAATTTGCGGCGTTTATATGTATTGTAATTTGCTAACAAGCCTTTTTAAATGTTTGTTAGCGCAAATGTGATTTATTTTTTCCCTCTCTTTCAATTGCACTCTCGTAATTTTGCATAATCATTACTTGAATTTATTTGGCCGCGCAATGGCCGAAGACCTAAACCTTAATATCAAATTCTCAAGTGCGCGCTTCGCAAAACCAACAAATATTGGACAATCATGTAAATATATATGTGCATACAAATGTTTGCCCTTATTAATACTGTGTCTGTTTATAACTGTACGTGTGCAAAATTTTATATTGAACAAATTTTTTAAATTTCTTCGCACACAAAATTTCATCACCGACACTGACCGATCGACCGACCGACCGACCGACCACCGTTGTATCCATCAACGACACCAGCACAATTGCCAAATAAATAAAAGTAGGTAGATGAAAAAAAAACCCAAAAATCGGTATTTTAATTGTAAACTTCAAACACGTCGTCTTTAAGCGCAAAATTTATTTACTGCTCCAGTCTTTTATTTACCCTCCGGCGTTTGAGGTATTCAAATAGTTACAAGACGGTTAAAAATACTTTTTGATGTTCAGATATTGTCTATGTGTGGAAACGAATAAAATAACAAAAAAATTATTTACACTTTCTTTAAAATCGCATTAAATAACATTTAAGGCAAATTTTTACTAAACATTGTTTGAGTATAATACAATTTTGTATTATATTAAATAAATAAATAAATTTCCCCAAAAGTTGTTTTTTAATACATATATATCCACAAACTCTATAACTAAACAGTGGAGAAATGCAAATATTTAGCACAAGCCCTAAACTATAATAATAAACTCGAAATTAGTTGGTATAATTCCAAATCTTGGATTTTTATTTTAAAATTGCTCTTTATTATAACTTTTTTTATATACTTTTAACAATTCTCTTTTTTTTAATATTTATTTTGTTTCAACATATTTAAGTTTATTTTTATTTTTTATTGTATTTTATTTTATTTTATTTTACTCTATTTTATTTTATTTTATTCTATTTTATTTTCTTTATTTTATTTTATTTTATTTTATTTTATTTTATTTTATTTTATTTTATTTTATTTTATTTTATTTTATTTTATTTTATTTTATTTTATTTTATTTTATTTTATTTTATTTTATTTTATTTTATTTTATTTTATTTTATTTTATTTTATTTTATTTTATTTTATTTTATTTTATTTTATTTTATTTTATTTTATTTTATTTTATTTTATTTTATTTTATTTTATTTTATTTTATTTTATTTTATTTTATTTTATTTTATTTTATTTTATTTTATTTTATTTTATTTTATTTTATTTTATTTTATTTTATTTTATTTTATTTTATTTTATTTTATTTTATTTTATTTTATTTTATTTTATTTTATTTTATTTTATTTTATTTTATTTTATTTTATTTTATTTTATTTTATTTTATTTTATTTTATTTTATTTTATTTTATTTTATTTTATTTTATTTTATTTTATTTTATTTTATTTTATTTTATTTTATTTTATTTTATTTTATTTTATTTTATTTTATTTTATTTTATTTTATTTTATTTTATTTTATTTTATTTTATTTTATTTTATTTTATTTTATTTTATTTTATTTTATTTTATTTTATTTTATTTTATTTTATTTTATTTTATTTTTTTTTTTTTTATTTTATTTTATTTTATTTTATTTTATTTTTATTTTAATCCTATAATAAAATTTTATTTTAATTCATTCTTTTGTGTTCTCCTCCTCTTCAATTTATTATATTTGATTACGTAATAGTTTATTTATGTTTTTAATTTATTTGAACTGATTTATTTATTATTATTATTATTATTGGATGAAATCGGCTGATCTGTTTGTAGGCGTAAAAATTTTTATTACAAAATATAATAAGAAGTTGTAGTCTCAAGACAAAATTCCAATGCCGGATCATTCAATATCTAGTTATGCTATTAAATTAGCATAATTGAATAGATGTCTAAATACATAGAAAGTAAATATCTTATTATATAGTATATTTCAATGTATATACTACGTATTTGTATATTATTAAATATATATAATATACCCACGTGCTTATTACAAATATGCTTATCGCGTTATTTTTATTATAGACGGTGACTATTCATATAATGGCTTTGTTAAACAGAAAATAACTAGTTAAAAATAAAATGTTTACGGTAAATCCTCTTTTCAGTAAATAGTTGTTTTAATTCTTTTTTTTCTGATTCTGAACATTGTTTAGTCATGTTTAAACTTAGCCACTATCTCTAGAATGGAAACATCATCAACGGTAAATGTTTTATAACCTTATTGTAGCGTTTGATGCCCAAAATTGCAAAGAAACGTGCGCTTAGCTCAACAAGTCAATCAAAGTAATGGCAAAGCTTTCATTCTTTGGTCCCAATCAATGTGCCACTTGAGCTTGAAAGGATTAATCCAGAACTCATCCTGCAGTAGCAATGACCATTCAGCTTCACGGGTACTAAAACCACCTGAGCCTAATAACAAAACGATAAATATTTGGTCAATAAAACAAATGTCACTAAAATGCCATATTTAAAAATTAAGGCTAATAATTTTGAGTAAATTTTGAAATTTTATCGCTCATTCTTTGAGTTAAATATTTCCGCTTAAGTTAAGGTCGGAAGGTCAGTTAGTTTCAATAGTTTCGAAATTGGGAAAAAGTGCGCTCCAGTTTCAAGCTATTGTAATGGTAGTAGTGTATATTTTCTAAAGTGAGTTTTATTATAACTCCCGAAATATAAATTTATTCTACTAAAATATTTGATCGCCTTCAAAGCAATCCTAGTATGGAGATGTGTATATTCCAATTTTTTCCTATTCCCACAACATTTTTTAAATTCATCGGCCGGATGGCTTTTAATTCCTTCAGCGATTCGCATTGAATATTCTTAACCAAATTAAAACGATTACGTCGGAGCGATTATTTGAGCTTGTTGAATATCCCAATAGATAACCCACGTAGATGGATAAGACGAATTAGGTGGTTGTGGGACAATATTAGTTGAATTTTTGGCGAAAAACTCACGAAGAATGAATGCAAAAAATTCAGTGCTTTGAGACCAAACGAGACTTGACTTTTCTCGGCCATAAAAGATCTTTCAAAATATGGTTGGCTCAACCAGCTTAACTTCCATCTCCATATCAAAATTACTTTCTTTAAAGTTAAAATGCTTTTGCTTTTATCAAAAGATGGTCAATAGAATTTAAAGACCCATAAAGTAACTAAAGTACTTTTTACGACTTTAGCGAGGCTAATAGTAGAATATGCTTCACTGATATGGAAGCCCAATTTTCTAGTTCATTCCGATAAGTTAGACATTGCCGATGGAATTCTACGATGAATCTTCCTCCCTATACCAACTGCTTAAGACCTCTAAGTCTACCTACTCTTGCAAGTCGTAGAGAAATTTTAAATGAAAATTCTGAACGGATCAATTTATAGTTCATGGTCTTATCTGAGGTAAAATTTAGTGTTCCAACTCAAGTATCTAAACAGTTTAGGCCTTTACTATTAAAGTCAAGTAAAACAAATTGTCAGGTGAATGAACCCTTTCGCCGATTGTGTCGAAATTTTAATTTTCCTTCCAGCACCTTGGATCTCTCAGTCCCACTTTTTAGCATCAAAAAAAAAACTATTCTTACTTCTCTCAACAATTAAAATTCTAGATTCCATATTTACTAAATTTCAGCTGTTGAATAATTATTTTTTCTGTAGATAAACAGTTTTAAATCTCGACGCTTAACAAACGCTTCCCAATCATGATGGGGCATATTCCGAACTTTATGCGGATGTCGCCTCGGAAAAAAATCAAAAGAGTTATTTTTTTTCTTCTAAAAAAAAACTATAGAGAAATTTCTTCAGGAGTTCGATTTTATTATTATTTTCCAGTTGCGACACAAGCAATATTATACACCTGTACATATAAATAACTCGCAATTCATATTTATATAATTAATAGTCAAACAATCAGATAGAAAAGGAGAAAATAGTGATTATTACTCTCTAACAGTAATTGCCACTTAAAGTATCGTTTACCTAAAATTAATTAATTTGCCATTATTACACTTTTACAAGGTGCTGATTGCATCCATTAAAAGTACAAATTGAGTCATTAGCTATGCCAGAAGTAATAATCTGTTATTAATCGGTTTATATTATATTTCCCATTGTCATTTCGCTTTAAAGCAGGTTAAACGGCTCTGTTTTTGCTTATTCATTCTAACTTTTTATTTAATTTTGATGCTGACTGAGCAGAATTTTGGAATGCAAAATAAAAAAATTTAAATTCTGCTACACGTACATACGTGTATGTGTCAACGCGCGCTTTCCTTTGGCACATGCCGTCGTTTTGTATAATTATTGGTGCAAGTTTCTAAACTACAGTAGATCATTTCATTTTGTCCAGTCATTGTGAGAATCTACATTTGAAACTTTTATCACTCATTATTGGTATTCATTCATAGATTTTTTGCATTTTTGAAATTAAACTGGTATTTGCTTGGTTGTGGCTTTAGAAATTGCTTTAACTTAATGACAAATAAATATTTTTCTATAATAAGCAGGAGGAATCCCTGTATAACGTTCAGTAAGGTGATTTCGTATTTTTACTTTAAATGTAAATTAATTATTAGTTTTTTTTTTTTGAAATGTGTAAAAGTCTGAACGTAATGCCGGGCTCCTTCTCCTATTTGTGGTTTCGCTTCTTGATATTTTTCCAACCAACAGAGGGAACCAGATTTTATTCTAAGCCACCTTCGAACGGCCAATGCA